GCTGGTATGAACAATATTTAAGAACACGTATGACTCATCCCTCTTCAGGCACAGTTCTAGAGAATCGCCTAATACAGAGAAGTTCACTCATTAAATTCCCTCACATTCGCGAAGTGAATTAGGAAATGCCCCTCCTTTAGAAAAGAAGCTCCTACAAAAAGGAAGACTGATCAGAAAATCCTTGAAGAGAAAAGGAAGTCCATTAGAGGAAGAGAACTTGCCTGCGAAAAGAAGCCACAATATCCTGAGAGGGATTGATTAAATATCGATTTAATTCAATATACTTTCTCTGAGATTCAGCCTTTTATTCTAATAGTTAAGTGCCTGCGGCCAATATCATTTGGCTGCTATTGGCTTTGGCCAATGTTTTTCGTGTTTTTGCAAACGTTCATTGTTGTTTTTTGTGCAGTTCGGGAGAAGATTGAAAATTGTTTGTTGTCGGTAAAGGAGCGTGTTTACTTTACGTAATCGTGCTACAGAATATTGTTGACGCCAGCGAGCCTTCCATTCAGTTGTGAAAACAAGCATTGTTCTGCTCGACATCTTGTTATCGGATCGAATGTTAAACGTTATTTTCAAATTTATTGTCAATATGGCTAAACATAGTTTCCAGTTTTTAATCTTATTTTCCTTAGTATCCTTGTCTTGAAAGGTTCGTTTCTTACGAATCGTGGGAAACGACATCGAAATGAAGTGTAGCCGAAACCGAACACCGTAATTATTCCTGGTTCGATTTAGTTCTTTTCCTTTCCTCTTAGTCGATTTCTTTGTTGAGTAAACAATAGGACTGTTAGTTTTAACAGTCACTGAAGGCATTGGCGGTGTTCGGAGAGGCAGATTTCCGTCCACAATATCTCCACATCCTTCACCTCTTGCTTGCCATTTCCATGCCTTCTTCTCCCATTCTCGCCCCGCCCCCGCTCTCGCCCCGCTCCCGCTCTCGCGCCTCCGCCCCCGCTCTCGCCGCCCCGCCGCTCTCGCCCGCCCCCGCTCTCGCGCGCCGCCCCCGCTCTCGCCCCGCCCGCCCGCTCTCGACCTGCTCCGCTCTCGACCCTGCTCCGCCTCTCGACCTGCCCCGTCTGACGCTGCTCCCGCTCTCGCCCTCCCGCTCTCGCCGCGCCTCGCTCTCGACCTGCTCGCCTGCTCGTTCTCGCTCCTTCCCTTCTCCGCTCTTCCCGCTCTCGACTTGCTCCGCTTTCTCCGGCTTCCCTTTCCGCTTTTTTCCTTCGACCTGCTTCCCGCTCTCGCCCCTCCCCCGCTCTCGCCGCGGCTCGCACTTGACCTGCTCCCGCTCTCGCCCCACCTCCGCTGTCGCCCCGCCTCCGCTCTCGACCTGCCCCACACCGCACTTGCTCTCGTCCATCCCTGCACTCTATCTCGTCCCACCTCCGCTCTGGAAACATTCCCTCGCGCTTCCGGCCTCGTCCTTCCTCCCACGTTTCCCCTCCTACTGTACCCCGTCCTCTCCAGTGCGTCTGCACAGTTTCTTTCTATCCCTATCCTTTTGCTCAACAAATTCGTGCCCATGCCATTATCGTCACCCCACACTCTCGTGCGCCTTCTTCCGTTCTGTCTGCCCCGTCCCACCGCCGCGGTTTCTTCACCTTTTCTCTTCCTTCGCCTTTCCTCCACCACGTCGCCGCGCCCCATCGCACTTCCTTTGTGACGCCCCAGCCCCGGAGCGCTACCTCCACGTGGGTGATCGCTGTGTTCTTATCCACGGCCTAGAGCACTGTTCCGCGAAACTTGTCCTTCGACAAACACTCGTGTCCTGGGCTCTGAGATGGGGATGTTTGTTGACGTGAAACTGGTGGACTTGACTTTTGTGATGTTCGATGCAGCTGCATATTCGGATACGCAACTGTATATAACATCAAAAAAAGTCCTTAAGTTCCTAGTTTGTCATCCCCATTGTATTGTAGTGATGGTGAAAATGGTTCGAAAACGGAAATGTTATTCAAATTTCTATAATTTTTTTATTGGCAAAATGCACAATTAAAGAACTTTGCGTGTTACATATTGTATTTCATCAGGATTTAGTGCTCGACGAACGATTTTGCAGTGGTGTTGTGTGCGCCTCACTGTCTTTTTTGTCGTGTTGCTGTCTTACATGTTCTGTACATGTTTAGATGTCTCTAAAATGGACGCCCTTGAAACCGACAAGAAAGCACGAAAAGCTTGTAACTGTGCGATATTGGCTGATACCCTCAGGACGTACTCTTTATGAAAATTACTTTCCTGTTTATCAATCTGTTCCAACCTTGTCGACAGCGATGATTATTCAGTAAAGAACATCCTGAATTGAAACTCTTCTGGATCAGTCCTAATTCCTAATGTGTAATTTATTTTATTTGTCTAATATAAATCTGCTACAGCTAAATTTTGATGTTTGTTGAAATGTTTAAGATGGATCAATGTGCAGGTGCAATACACGGAAATAAAATTCCGTATGGTTAATATTCAGGCTTAGAGCACTAGAGCAACTGGCCTTTTGCTTCAGAAATGAAAATATTTGAAAATTGTTATTACTTCTCAAAATTGGTAATTGCTACGATAAGAAATTACGGGAAGTTACCTTAGATAGCAGTGATAAAGAGGGATGCTTTCCTTATTTTCTAGATAAGAAAACAGAAAATCGATGTACGAGGGGTAACGGGGGAACTAGAAGCGAAGCGGCTAGCAGAAATTCTGTTCACGCGTGTGCTCTAGGTCCCGATTTAATGTTATAATTTTGATGGACAAAATACCATGGTTCCTCGAGTTTTTTCACTTTCACGGATATATCATTTCCCCTTTACGTCTTCATTGCATTCCATCTTCATTCATGACACTGGGATACTGTAAATCAAAAATTAATGAAACGGATTTAAAGATTTTTATTGATGATTTGTCCTTTAATGTTCTGTTTAATGAAGAAATATTTTTAAAAGTATCTAGTGGAATATTTTTGGCTGGATTACCTGTCATTTAGAGAATCACGTCAATCAACCAAGAACGCTATATGACGCTAGAACAACATTTCTTTTCTCGTTTAGGATTATGAATTGTAGTTGGTAAACTTTAGCATATATTAGTATGTGGAGATTTTTCTAAATTTATTGATCTCATTTCTGTTCTTTTTGATGTCGCTCTCGACGGCGGTGTCGCTGTCGATGATCGCTGCTGGATGTTGCTGCTTTTTGATGCTGTTGATGGATGCAGTGCACGGAACTTGCGTTTTGCGCTTCCATGCACTTGCGGAGGCTGAACGGACATCCTCTCGCGCAGCGGCGGTTGTGCGCTGTTGGCTACCGGAGCGGAACAGCCAGATAAGCAGCGGAGGCGGCCCTTCGCTCCGGCCCGGACGAACCATCCGGCGCGGCGCCTCGGCGTGAGGCAAGGCGACGGGCTGGCGCTTTCTCCCATCAGTTCGCCTCCAGGCAAATTACGATACTTTAGGGCCTTGGCATTCGCGTATTGCAAAGCTTCCTTTCCGTCATACTTCCTTGGGTGCAAGCTAATAAAAAAACAATCATCTTGTAATTTCTTCGAAAAATATTTCTGTACTTTGTTATTGATCCGTCCCTCTAAGGGAGGCTGGACAGCTCTTTAACAGTCTTTGTTCCAATCGCAGGAATTTAGGCAAACATTCCACTCTTAAGTACACGGGAGAAAGAAATCAAGATCCTCTGTTTAAAAAGTTTAGTTTTACACTGTTAAGTGATAAATTTAAATGTATTTCATTTTAATGTCTTTTTTAAATTTAATAGGGAAATGGGATTTAAAATATCTAAATTTGGGCAATAACTCTCTATTGACTTCTCCAGAAGACTTGGTTTGGTATCCAGTGACGCACCGTCACTCCGGAGCAGTTTGTTCAACCCTTATTTTTAAATCTGGCGCCAGTTGCTCTGAACGGGAACTCTTGTAAACTTGCATCTTTCCGAAGTGCACAAAGCGATTCACGGCCAGTTAGTCCAGCCGGAAGGTACATTTTACTTATAAAATGTTATAAACACTTTTTCTTTGAATATGTTGTATTTACCCGGGCACCAGTTAAAACTCCAAGCTTTCGACCTGTGCTAACTCTGGGAGGTCCGAAAAACCGATATTTTTTCGTTTTCTTCTCTGTAACTGTTAACCTTAAATCTTGTAAAAAAATAATTAAATTCAAATTTAAAGAGGGTAAAATTTCCTACAACTTTTGTCTGACATATTTTTTTTTTTTTTGAGAACAATTACCAAGCGCGATACAACTTTTCAAAACAAAACAAAAAACAGTAATTTTTCATTTCTTCAAAATGTGCGCAAAACTTCCCATGAATTGGTGGGCAAACTCTTCTAGTCATGAGAGCAGTGTCAATGATTTGTTAAATACTCAGGAACTCGGAAAAACTCCAACATTTTTAAACAGTTTTGATTTTGACAGAAAAATGCAAATTTGTGGTTGATTCAGCCTATTCTCATACTGCGTGTAGCGACTGAATTCTCAAAATCAGTGCGTCACTGCTTACAACATAGCTGATGTCACGGGACAGTAATGCTCTAAGGAAGTGGTCGCCCGCCATTAAATACTTGTTATCCACGTGAGGCGATATAAAATAGCACCTTTTTTATATTCTTAGTTTGAAAATAATGTTGTTCTGTACATATTGTATACTATGCTCTTGCAGTATTCGAGACAACTGGTTTTATTAAAATATTTAATTTCTGACAATGTTATACGAGAGGATTTTATTTGTTGTTCTTGAACAGTGTGCGAGCTACTTTTTGGTAAACCATTTTACGGGGTTTTGTTTAGCAGCATTTTTACTGCTCCAAGCCATGTCTCATTATAATTTTAATAAACTAAATTTATTAAAATTTAAAAAAAATGTATCCTAGTTGCTGACATAACATGTGATTGTAACGTGAAATAATTACTTTTTCAGAGCATTATTTTTGGGTGCATCCCTTTGGGCAGGCTTGGCGCCCGTCAGTCTTGCCAACATAACGATGTGATCAACTTTTCTTTGTTGCAGACGATAACTTGCGACTGCGAAGCGACGCCGGCGATGCAACTGAAGGCCTTCCGCCAGAAGGGTGAGAAGGTGGAAGTGTCCCACTATCGAGTGAACGTGAACCGATTTCGGGCCAGGCTCAACGTCGTCTGCAGAACCGATAAATTACTGGCAGACGTCAAGTGTGACGGCTGGCCTGACGTAAGTGACATTACCCGAAGTTATCATTTCTGTGAGTGCATGCGCACCTTTAATTCTAAATGTTTCTTCTCCTTCTTCCTTGTTGCAATGTCTGTACTTTGAAAAATAGTTTCGTCTTGCATTCTCCTCGTTTTTGTCTCACTGTTCTTTGACATATCTTTCTCTGATTCTAATTTTATCTCTTCGACTTTTATTCTTTTTTCCATTTCTTTATTGCATTACTTCCTCTTCTGCACTTTTCATTTATGTGTTCATAAAAAATAATTTAATTTTCAACTATGGCTGCTTGTCAACAATTAATTTCAGGGTGGGCTAACATAGATTACAAAATAGTGGTAGATTCGAAGACATTGTCGCGGATTTTGATCTCTTCCTTTCGAGGGGTTATTCACATTAAAGCCGGGCAGTCATTATTTCAGGAAGAATTTTACGTCCCAAAAGAGTGTGAATTTTTTTACCCGTACGTTACACAACAATTTTTTGTTCTTTTTTCTTGCCAACAAGAAATAAAACCGACCTCAGTGTAAGTCGACAATTATCCAAAATATACTTTCATTTAGTTTAGCTACATCAGTAAGTCCAGAAAACGACCGTAGTAGTTCATTCACTATGCAGGTCGTAATATTAATGTAAAATCAGATTTAAATCTCAAAATATCAGTAGCATGCATAAATATTCCACAGCATACTAATTTAAAAATGAAATGATATAACAGTTAATTGTAAATAATATTTTCCACTTCTCGCCGCCATTTGTGCTGGAAATCGGAGCCTTCCATGAGAACAGGCAATATCTAAATTCATAATTTTCATGTATCATGATATTCAAGTCTCTTGCCTAGCAGAACGTGAATTCGGTGGTAGCGCTCGAATTCCAATAAGGATGCTCCTGTCTTAAGACGGCTCCACACATACAGCATTCGCCCATCAGCGGAGCTACTGCTCGCCCAATCCCGAACAGCTGATGTGTTCGGCGAATGTTCGCTCCTTTGATGTCTCTTAAAGACCGAAACACGTGGGTAGGCGAATACTTCGGCGCATGGCGAATAGCAAGCAAACTACTGGGGATTCGGCGAGCGGTTGCGCGATATTTGCCGAATGCCGCATGTGTGAGCCGCCTCTAGGTTTCGTCTGTGACTCGGTCTCGCAGCGAAGCGTGCGCAGGATTTCTCAGATGAATCTCGGGAAGACCTGCCCTCTCGGACTTGCAATGGCGGATCGGAGTGGGATGGAGTAAAGCAAGAGAGTCATCCTCCCCACTCCAAACTTACATTTAAAAAAATAACTTTACTAAATTTCTGGAAAACAGTAATCATGCCATAATAGCATCACAACCAAAAGAGTATTCTCATTATAAATACACACATCTTTAAAAAATTTAATGCTAGCAAATCAGTTTTATATTATTTCGAGTATATTTATAAAGGGATGTTTGAAGTGAACCCTCCTCCTGAAATACTTTCCAGATTCACACCTGAAGCTGCATAAGTAGGTTTCTAAAAGCCGTAGCGACAGGGCACTTGACAATTTCTTTTTTCCACCTTAGTTCAGTTTTTCTTTTACTATTCTGCCATGAAATTTTAAAATCTTTATTCTATAACTGTATTACTTAGTTATTTAATAGTTGTGCAATTGCATAGATTTAGTGATTCTTATTAATCATCAATTTTAATCAATTTTCTCCTAAATAGTCCTACTTATCTTTATTAATTGTCCAATGAAAATTATTAACAAATTAACTGTGATTTATTGCACTTTTAACAGTTTAAACATTGTGAATGACTCTCTGTATTGCCCTTTCACAATTAAAAAAAAATCTTTTTAGATTAAAGTTGCTCTCGCACCAGTTGGTGCCATAAAGAGCAATTTGGATGAACAACAACTTCAGGATGTCATCACCGAAATTATTGTGGGTGCATTACGTGGCAGTGTTGTGAATTTGAATCTTGGACAGTATCCGACTTGTCCACGACTCAATCGACCGGTTTCAGCTGCAGAGCCGAGGCTTCCCGTGCACTATGATAGTCTAGTAAGTACTATTAGATTTGTTATACAATTGTATTCTGTTGTATTGTTTTATTTTTCTTAAGAAACTGGTCCCTTTAAAACTGAAGACTGTAAAAACATATATTTAAGATCAGTTTTTACTGGTTATGAACTGAAATGATAGAAAAATTTCTGCAGTCTACAAATTTGAAAGGGACCCGTTTTCTTAAGAGTAATATTATATATATTCGTTTCTATTTTTAGATTGCAATAAAGCTTAGTAAATGGTGATGCTTTTCTGTGGAATACTAGATGTATTCCATTTTAATTATAAACCAAACCGGAAAGTTTCAAAAGTTCGTGGCCCGTGGCAGATTTCCGACATTACAGACAATGGTGGCAGATTTCCGACATCACAACTAGGTCAAATTCAGTCTCTGACGGAAGGAGAAACCGGGAGATGTGGCCAAGGCAACAGCTGATGTCGTTGCAGTGCTTCTATCTGGGAGGTTCTATGTTCGACGGTGGCAGGATTTTCGATACTAGCTAGATAACTATGTCAAGTTCAGTCGCTCTCTGGAGAAGAATTCTGGCGGTCAGCTGATCCGAACGGAAGTTTTTGACGACAAATGCCGTAGCAATACCCTAACAAACGGGCCAAGGACCATGCGCGATCTTTCCTTCCTCATCCTTGTCTTATATACATACACTTACTCCTTATTACATACACATACACTTTAAGTTACTTGCACTACAGTACCACACATGCCAGTAGGCCGGTGGGGAACTTAAGAGTTTGTCCCGGCTTGGGCGGTGCCCCACTGGTGGGAGATACCTGGTTGGGAAAAATCTCGCTAGTCGGCGATAGGTCTGCGCATGATCTCCCCACCCAACAGGAGATTACCGCCACCTCCCGGGGAAAACATTTACTACTATTACGTCACTAATAACCTCAGCCGTTGAAGCGCCCAGAATCGCCAATCAGTCAAAACTCAATCTGAAGGAGAATTCTAACAGCCGACTGCTATTATCGATTGTGTTCCGTGATATCTCCAGTCATTATCAGACGAATGTCAAAGCAGTACATTACAGAACGTGTCATGGGCTGCACGCGATCTTTCTTTTCTCATCCTTATCTCCTCTTCTTCCTTCTACACCGTCCCCCACGCCTACATGCTACTCACTACCATACAATTGCGTGTCCGGAATACTGTTGTAACAAAAAACCTGTTTTGTACAGGTAGGCACGATTTAAATCCCCCGCAACATCATTTGTTTCTCATTAATCGACGATAAATAATATTGCCTTGCAAGTTACTTTTTACAAAAATTGTTAATGTCAATTGGTTTTTAATTTATTAAAATGGATTTGATAAAACTGATTTTTAGGGCAATATTATTCCATAAAAATAAACGGCGATCTCCTTCCATGAAATAGCGATGCATCTGCTTCCAAGCGGTTGTATTGGTATAATGCCACTGATAAAATTTATTTCACATCAGAAAAAAAATGGTCCGATGTACCATCAAATCTCAATTTTTGCTTTTTTGGAGTTACAACAGTATTTCGGAAAAGCGGCAACATGGTGACCCGCTGGCGGAGATGCCTGGAAGGGGAAATGTTCGCCAGGCGTCATGTAGATCGGCGCCGGATATCACGTCCCCCCAGTGGGAACACCCCCACTTCCCGGGACAAAGCATTCACTACACTAATGGAACTAATAAACACAGCAGTTGATGTGTCCCGAAACGCAGAATAATCATTTAAACAATTGTTATCCAAATTTGAATAAGCAAGACTTGAAGACTTGTTAACTAAATACAATTTTTGTATTGTAGATAATGTCATTGCCCTCGTGGCTAGCTGTTGCTCAGCGTGCTCTTTCCACTATGCAACCCCGGATAGTGAAATGTGTGATAGAATTGAGATAAAGGGTGTAAATGAACGAATTGGGAATGTGACGCTGGATCAGATGGGGCCTTCAAAATCAATAATTGTTTCTTACACTTAAGGTGCCTGGATAGACACTTTACATGATACTGATGACACTTATTCTTACCAGTATGTAAGTGTTTGTATTGTTAAATGTCCATCACATTTTAACTAACAATATTTTAATTTCTAAATATAGATTGTCATGATGCATACTGTACTTCTGAGAAGAATTTCTTTCCATCGATTTTTCCCTTGTGTTTTTTAAAAGGGGATATTCCCCTCTTCTGGGAATTCAGGAATGTTGTTGATTAAATTTGAAGGTAATCATTTTCTATCCTTAAAGCCCTTGTAAAGGTGTGGAAAACTAAAGAAAACATAAAAATTTTGGAGAATCCTTTTGTCTGGTATTTTCTGTTATTGGAAGGGTTGGAGCTATTGATTATTGAACTAGGACACTTCATGTATTAAATTCAAGAGTTTAGAGTTGAATCCTTGCATGATGGAGGTACAAATGCAATCTGGATTCTCTAGAGTGCAACATTTTAGCAACACTGCTTGTATTTGAGTAAATATTGCATTTAATAGTACTTATTCCTGAGGAATCTGTGTCATAGTTATTGGGCACAAAAAATCTCTAGGGTCTGCTTGATCAAAATTATGATATTCCAGGGAAGAATATAAACACAGGTCTCCCTAAGCACTCTATCAGTAATTTCACATCTCTTCACTTATTTTTGGAGAGAAAAGGGTATAATGAAGATTTTTCTGTAGCAATGTTGTCATATTGTGATAGTTTTGTGAACACAGAATACATTTTTATTTATCTTACTATTCTTTATCTTCACAGTCTGGCTCTCATGGTGGAAAGACTTCAGATAAACGTTTGTTGGTGAAAGTAATCAAAGCTGTAAATCTTGGTGCAAAGAAAGGTACAGAAAAAAGCACTACTTTTTGAAACTGTAAATATTTTATCACATTTGTAATTTTAATGCTCAAATTGTAAATTGTTTCTTAGGATGCACGGAGCCATACTGTGTGGTTGAAATGGATGAACCTCCACAGAAAAATCAAACTTCAGTCAAGAAAGATACCAATAACCCAGTGTGGGATGAACACTTTCTTTTGTAAGTGAATTTGCTCATTTCAGATCATGATACTTTACATCCTGCTTCTTACAGTTTTCTCATTTTTGCCTTTGTTTTCAGTGACCTCACTCCTAACACAGCAGAATTACTTTTTGAAATATATGACAGAGCCAATAAGGAAAATAAATTCCTAGGATTGGGTATTGTGGGTGTAGAAGAGTTACTAATCAACCCGAGCCAGAGACAAGTTATATCTTTGCAGTCAAGACCATATGAGGCAGATGAAGTTTCTGGTATGCTAACTGTTGAGGTAATTTTTTCTATTTTCTATTATATTATTTTGTACTGCTTATGTCACATGATTTCTTCTTGACGATAATTGAATTACAAATAATGGAATGGAATTGGAAAGATTGTGGTGTATCAGGATAATCTAGGAACAATTTCACTCTAATATTATTGGAGCATTCACAAAAGTCTTTCTTTGAAGGGCATGATGATTAACTCTGTTTCATTTTGTTGACACATGTTATTCATTGCACAATATTTAACTTGATCTATTCTCAAATAAAACAAATTGATATATTCACATTTAAAGGAAATGTAACAATTTTTTAGAAAATTACATTACCATTTGGGATGCTTACCATTTAGATTAGCCCCAGGAATATATTTTTTAAAATATAATTCTGTGAAAAATTCCATTCAATCAGTGAGGATCATGCCCTTGACAATTGAACTATGAAGTACATATCTTTATCTATTTTCTCCCAAAAACTGTGTGATTGAAGGTCTGGAAAAAGTACTTATGAACTATTATTTTTGTGATAGTAGCACAATTTTCATAATAATGAAATGTAGTGATTTTAGAAACGATGATATGAGAAAAGTAAATCAAGGAAAGATTTAAATTTTATTATTACCACAATCAGACTGATTTCTTGTTAAATATGGGATTAGTTACTGATTTATTTTAAGTAGTCTTTGAATTTAACGCCAATTTCACTAATTAATTGTTTGTCTGTGAATGTGGAATAGAAGATAAAGAGATTTGGAAAGAAATCTATTTCTAACACAGTTATTATGTTCTAAAGGTTATACTGAATTTCTACACATTCTTTATTAACCTCCTTTTAAATAATAATGTAAGACATTTTTTTCTTGGTTTGCAGTTTTTGTTTATAGAAGGAGCAGACATTCCTGTTCATGGCGATAGACCATATAAACTTAAAGAGACACTTAGAACAGTCTCTCCCTCAGGAGGTGTCATCACTACTACTAAAACTGTATTTGAGAAGCCAGATGATACTCGTGAGTTTTGTTTTATTTGGTAAATTCTCATTACACTTGCTTGTCTTATACATTTATGCAGTGGTTCTCAAAACGTAAGGTAACTTTAAGTTTAAGATAACTTAAGATAAGACTTACAAAACTTAAAATAAACTCAGAGCTGTCTTAGCGTAACCTATAAAACTTACTAGGTCCGAATGTGGGGGTCTTTAATTTGCAGGGTCCATTGGCATTTTCCTTAAATAATGTTCAAAATGTATTGACACAAATTTAAGTTAATAACAAAACGTTTGTTTGCACTTTATGGAATAGACGAAACTTTTAATGCTACCTACAAATTTGTGCCATTATTATTGTTAAAAGAAAATGTTTAATTGTTTAACAATCCTATTGTCATAAAGCGCTGTAAGCATGATTTTTTTCACTACTTTTACCCAAGGCAGGATTGAGCATCTGCTGGACAAGAGTGGTTAGTGCTCTTGTATTTTCATCATCTCAAGAAAATGAGCAGTAATGTTTTTTATAAGTCATTTACAATTGTCACGACCTTTTCATTTATTTTCTGTATTTTGTTGTTTATTTTCCATTACATAAATTTTCTTCCTACACCATGTGTCACAGACCTTTTTGTATGTTAATGCCCAAGAACTTGCATTCCTGTTTGAATTATTTTTTATATCTTTCTTTATCCGAGTTTTCAAATGCTTTTATTACTATTAATAACCATTATTATTAATGGCAATTATTAATTAATTAATTCTCTATTCATTAATTCAAAGTTATAACTAGTGTTTATTCAGGAATTAATCAACATTAAATATACTTTGAGATATTGTTCAAAATGTATTTTAAAGTTGCTTTTTGTTTTGAGAACCTCTGCAATAAAAAAAGTCAGAAGCTTGGTGAAAATATTGTGAAATGTAAATACAACACGCAGTCATGAAACATTGCATGTGTGTGAGTGTGCGGTTATGCCATTTTTTCAGAACATTTAAATGGAGGTGATGTAGTTACAGACTCTGCTCTGAAAGAGTTGGAGCTGCGGAACCGGACGGGGGCTGGTCCCACTCAAGCAAGCAAAAGCACCTTAATCATTCACAGTGTCCAGAGAGTGAGTAAATGGTTTTGGAGTCTGTGCTTGTGATTCAGTGAGCTTCAGTTTAATTGTTCACCTAGTCTCTGTGTAAATGAATTCCTCTTATTAAATTGTTCAGAGACACACTTACAATTTACACATGCATTTAATATTGCAGTTACCAGTTACAATTACTTTTTAAGGAAATATGATACACATGTTATTTTCAAACTGGAAGCATTTAATTAATGTTTGAGAAAATGTTTTAGAAATGAATTGAAAACTGAGTTTTTAACAAAAATAAATTTGTTGATATTGTGGAACAGAATCAGGAAAGTTGAAAATGTTGTGGATGAAATGTTATGAAAAGGCAAACACTGAAAGAAATAGTAAAGATTAATTTCAAGTTTTTGAAGCAAACATTTTTAAAGATATTTTTCAAGAACTGATGCTGAATGATGGGTACTTCGTCTTCTTGACAAATCTCATGAACATATCATTGATGTGAATATAATTACCGTCGCAATTGTACACAGTCAGACTTTCATTCTTCAAATTCTGCCATATTGTGGGAGCAGCGTAGCATGTCTTGATGTGTGTGCTGACAGTCCCACTGTACTAATGGTGTGTGTTTTTCCCTTTTCTCGCTGGCTCAAGTAGCAGCCTCAGCATAGGCAACTTGTGAAGGTGAGTTTGTGGAATGTTCAGCGCACCATTACTTAAAGATATTGAATTAACATTTATAAGTATTCGTAGTCAATTTTATAACATTGAAGATTGCAATGATTCATGTACAAATTATTGTTGTAATTATTAACTTTGTACTCGTAGAAGATACATTTTTATCACGTTTAAAATGTATTCTTGAACTCACCGTTCCATGTAGTAATATCTGTCGTAAAATTGATATTCACCCAATTTGTTGATGCAAAAGATTACAATAACATATTTTTCTCTTAAAGAATAAAGGTGTAGAACTGAACTGGTATTTAGAATGTGTTTGCCTTGTATGTAGTTGTTTGTTTTGTTTTGCTTGCCCTCACCTTTTGTGTGTTATGGCTGCATCCAGGTTGAGCAGACAGATGCTGGACAGTGGCACGAGGTTCCTGCTGACCAGGTACAGCAGGACAATGTTACCCTCACTTTCATTTCTTACTTTTGTGTTGTATGCTTTTAAAGTTTGTGCTCTTTTTTAACCAAAGTATTTTATTATTTTTTTAATTTCATTTAATGTTAGCTATTATTTCTAATGAATTTATTTAGTGTATTTTTAATTTACCATTTTTTAAGATATGTGAACAAGTTAGAATTTGAAACTTCTCAACTTTTTTTGCATTGGGAATTGTGAAGAAAGATAATTTTTATGTGCAGTTTTATGGTAAATTCCTACTTACTGCAAACAATACCAAAATTTAATTTTTGTGTTCTCTCATTGGGTTCTCCTGAATGCTTTTAATATTTATTTTCCAATGCTTTTCTGAGCATTCTTCTATTATTCTAAGTGTTTTAGTTATGATGCATATCAAATAATTCATCATTAACTTTATAAATACTTTTTTTTAAAAATTAATTTGTTGCATCTCTGTTGATGCAATGTGAGCAATGATTACTCTATCAAATTTCAAATTTTTTATTGTAGTGAAGAAGAGTCACAGAGAATTTGCAATAATTTATTTTGAATGTTTTCAGAATTAATTTGGGTATCTCAGTTGTACATGCTTACTGGCATAATTTGCAATGAAATAAAAACAAAATGATATATAACATCATAGTACATCAATATATAACATCATAGCATGAATCGAAATATAATCAGGAAGGAAAGAAAAGTTATAATTCAGTTTAAATAATAATCCTAAGCTTTCTGAAAGCAATTGCAAACATTAAGCTTGAACTTACACTATCTTCAAAGGAAATGTTTAGAAATTATTAGTGATCAAGGAACTATCCTCTGGAAAAGACTAGAAGTAGCACTCATAAATGAAAGTGCTCCCTGGAGTGGACAATTATCAGGATTCTTCTTTAGCTGTCTCACTGAGTTGTGTTTATTTTAAATTTTTTTTGAGTTTTTGATCTTTGATATTGCAAATCGAATGTGACTCTTTCTATGCTATTTGATGTAGATAGTTAACTGATTTCTGACTTGAACAATGCATTTACCTTACAGCTTGGCACAGAAACAGCCCCGCCCCCACCTCCTGTTGGCCAAGATGGAGTGCAAGGATCTCCACCTTCAGGTCTCCTTGATGGTAATTATAATGTACACTTAAAAAAAATTCTTAATGTTGAGGTATTTCTGTAATTAGAAAATAAAAAAATGCAAGTTTGTGATAATTGGTCCCAATTAATAATACTCATCAATAGTAATGGTCCCTTCAAAAACAATTTGAGATATATCGGATATATTTTATTCTTATAATTTGTTTCTATCAATGAATTAATTAATTAATCATGGAATCTTTATTAGTAATTAATTTATTATTGTGATTGTTATTATATTGTTTTTCTTCTTGTTATTTTGCAGACAGGGGAAGAAGCAGAAGGAAAAAACGTGACTTCTTTGGAACTATCAAAAGAAGACTTGGGCGTTCCAAAACACGGTCAAAATCAATGGATCCTGCAGAGCGTGATGAATCTCTTAACCGAGATGCTAGCCTCACTAGGTCTATATCTGCAGATAGAGCTCGTGATCCTTCTGCACATTCAGCAGGTCAGCTTCTTTTCTAGAATTTGTGTGAAGCATGTTTTTTTCCCTTCTTTTCTTCTTTCTTTTGGGTAATTTTCACTTTTTTTAATGTAACATAGTTATTTCTAATTTTTTTATTTGATTTTTTTGCCTAAATTTGTAGCAGATAGAAAAGAAAATAAGAACATGTCAGTTCTCTAATTATTTTGAAATAAATCATTGGTAGTAAGTCCTATCACAATATAGAAATGAAGATAAAGTTTGCAATAGTATAAGGCATAGCAAAGATTTCTCGAGTTATGGATCTTCTTTCAAAAAGAGCACATTGTTATTAACAATATTTGAACTTTAAAAGTATACCTTGCTTAATTTGAAAGTAATTCAGCATATTTCTTGTTTAAACATTTAATAAAACCTCTGTGCAATTCATTTGAATGCTGATTTTGAAGGCACACAGAATCACTGCATCTTCGTTGCACAATCACTGCACACCTTCTCTGCTACAATCACCCTCTGAAAGACAGTGGGACCAAATCCCTGCCCCTCTCCTTAAAAACAACTACTCTAGAATTAATATTAGGGAATAATGGTATTAATATTTGTATTTAGACGGCTTAAAATTAAAATTATATTAATTTTCCCCAAGAATATTAAAATTTAAAGTAATTGTTGTATGTTCACTTACTTTTCAAATATGCAATAACAATTAATCTTGTTTAAAATCACTTTTCCAAACCTATTTGTTGTTATTATGATGTGGTTTATTAATAAATGAACCTGGTGTAGATGTGTTGTTAAATTCTATAAGATAATTACCAACAGAAATGATAGATCAGTCATGAATATTTATAAGTTTGTTTATAATTGTCTCTTTTCTGTAAATGACTCAAAATACTAATTTGAAGTGGAAAAAAATTATGCATGGATCTGCAGAAAAATATTGTGCAATTTTTGAATCTGTAAAACATAGTTTTAAACAATGTACTAAATTCAGCAATGAGGAAAAAAAGCATTATTCAAAATAAATTATATGTAAGGTAATCTATATATCTATATCTCAAGTGTCTTCAGAGCTTGTTTTTGAAGTATTGATGTTGTCAAAGTGCAAGTGCGAGTGCGAAAAATCTATTTGGCATCAAGGAAGAGAAATGAGAAGAATCAAAATTGTCGATTGTGGTCAAATAATAGAAAAAGTATTCTAATTTAATTATTTAGGCAGTGTCATTGGACTTTGGTCAAAGGACATAGAAAACAAAATCTAGAAATGCAACATAACAAAAAGACTAATCAAAAGGCATTTCAGAAGGGATGAGAATCAAGATATTAAATTAAGAATACATAATATGATTTTAAAACCAGTTCTCATGTATGGATCATAAGTTTGGACAATGAAAAGAATGAATCAGCGAAGACTGGAGATCACACATAAAATGTTTATGCCATCTCACAGGAGTGACATTAAGGGATCATCAAAGAAGTAAAAATATTAGGAAAAGGCTTAAAATAAAGAAGAAATAAAGGATAGTCAGAAGAAATTATTTTCTCATATCAACCAAATGCCATAATTCTCAAAGACAGCATTGAAGTATAAACCGTTGGCATGAGAGATATTGGGAGGACACAAAAGAAATGATTAGATCAGGAACACTTGGAGGACTAAAAACTCACCACGTGTATTGCAAAATAGGATCAGGCAACACAACTAGCAATCTAAAAGTACACGATAATGATGAAAATGTAATGCTAAAAATATTAAAAAGTAAATCTGAATTCAAATTGTCATAAATTTGATAAATCTTTGTTAGTAACTCATTTTAAAATATTGCAAATAAGAGCTTTCAGCGGACTTTGTTATTATTTTCTATTGTGTCTGAGAGTTTCATGTAGATATTAAAATAATGTAGCACTGTATGTACTGTATTTCATTCCTATAAATGATCATTATATATTGACATTGATGTGTTAGAAGTAGTAATAGTAGTAGGTAGGGAGTAGTAGTAATAGTAATAACAACTCATAGTATATTTTTGTAGAATTTGTAATATGTAGCTATTGAAGCATGTGCTTTTTATAGATGATTTATTATGTATTTTATTTAGAATTGGTATATATAAAACTTCTTCAGATTTCCTAATTTTTGTTTCTAATAAATGTATGTTCTGTTTTGTTTTTGTGTTCCTTCTCATCACAACTTGCTTGGCTATAACCTAATGGTAAGTTGCCATTAATCAAAGAGTAATGTTTATTGTTGTTTAGTAAACAAAGTTGGTTTTCTGTTTGTATCCACTGAAGGGTTAATTATATTGTAATATTATTTAGGATACCTGTCAGTGCCTGGTCTCATTGGAGTTGATGGCAACTCCACTAGATCCAGTCTGAGTGAAGCTTCAGGAATTAGTGGAGCCTCTACTCGCACTTATGTAAATGAGGCATCCACCTTGGTACTTGAAACAATTGAAAACGGTGTAAAGAAGTACGTAATTTGGAAATTACTGCTGGTTATCTGTTACAATAAATAATTTTTGTGAGTTGAAAATATAATTTTATGAATTACAGGCATTATCTTGTGCCCCTGACATTGGCACAGAAAAGTAAGTGGAGGAAGAAAGGAACAAAACTTCATATTTTTAATGATCACACTTTTATCGCAAAACATTTATCTGGGTATGCAAAATTTTACTGTGAATATTACTGAAGTGATAAATTTCAAAACTGATAAAGACATTAATCCAATTTTATTTGAATTTTTAGAGGCACAATTTGCCAAGTGTGTAACAAAGCACTGGCACGAAGATTAGGCAAACAGGGATATGAATGTCGAGACTGCCAGTTGAAATGTCATAAGCATTGTCACATAAAAGTTGATTCAAACTGCACAAATTCAACTATTCAGAATATTGAACTGTAAGTATATTATGTTGTAATTTTATCTATCTCTTGACATGAATTTTTTAGGAGCCCTAAAATAATTTATCTCAGAAAAATGTAAGAGTTGCATTTTTATATTGTTTGAATTTGAAACTCTCAGACTTACTTCGATTAAGTAAAATAAGCAACTGTTTGTATTTCATCAAATCGTTTGGTAAAGCTTCATCATTTTTGATAAATTGTCATTGTTGTTGATATTATCATTATCCTGAATCTCATATGCCAAGAGTGATCACCCAAGAACATTTTAAGAGAGTAGACAAAAAGTTGGCTCTACAAAGACAATCAATTAAGTTTGAGAGAAAATATAACCTGTTTGCTGTAGATTCTGTTTGCTTAAAAGGCAGTGTTTTTAAGGAATTATAAATATCCAATTTTAAATTTGGGAAACAAAGAAAAGTAAGACTTTGAAATAAAAAAAAACACATTAAAAATATTAAATAGTTTTGAACATACATTTAGTCTTTCAATTCAGTAATCTGGCAAATGTTTTGTAAAATGAAGTCATTGCTGAATCTATAATCAAAATTATTTATTACTTTAAAGTTGTTTTTGTATTTCAAAGTTGCTTTTACTTTAATTTTCTTTAATTTTTAACTTTTCTGTGACTTAAGTGGTAAAAGAAATACTATATTTTGATCTCTCCTAGTAATGTTTTTCTTTACCCCAGAGAAGAGAGATCAAGTACATTTTGCTAGCTATAATTTTTGAAAATTTAATGGGGTCAAATAAAAACAATGCTTTGCACAAATGATTTGATTAAAAATTACTCCAAAACAAATATTATTTTGAAGAATCTATAGGTAAAAAATATTTAAAGTAATCATAATGTCATTAGATTGCATTAAGAAGAAAAAAAATATTTAGCTTAAAAAATGAGGGTGTAGGAAATGATTGAAAAAAGTCAGATTGTTGCAATTTCCATAAATTCAATAACTTCAATGAAAAAATTGGACTTTTATTGAGATTATAATTGCACTGATCTCTATACAAAGAAGAGAATGTTAGAAAAAGTTTGAAGCTATTTCTGAGGAAATTTGGAAATGTAGAATGAGGCTTTTATTAAGTACCATAAAAATTAAAAGTTCCATCGTAAATTCTCTGAATCTAAAAGTTAATCGAATTCATCAGAGACTATTAAGTTTGGAAAAAATTGTATTTATGATTTACTTTAAGCGTTGTTGTTTGAACCTCTTCATTATTTATTGCAGCAAGCAATGTCCCTCATTTATTTTACCATTGGACCCCATAATCAGAAAATCATTAAACTAGCGTGGTGCCACTGAGAGATTATACCCTTTAAGTTGAAGATATAATAATTTAAACAGAGGTACATATGTGATAGTTATGGCTGAGCAAATATTTCACAAAATATTCATAATAAATTGAAGGTCTTGTCTCTAGATAGTTCCCTGCCAGAGTTCCAACAAAATTAAGATAATCATATTAACATACTTATCATATAAATTGTAAAGTATTTTACAACAACAAATGGGGGTGATGTAACAAATGACATTGTACTTTGAAATTTACAGTTTTATCTTCCAAACAACAATGTGCAATAGCAAGTTTGAAAATCTCAAATTCAGACAATCTATTGGTTGAGTTATGGAATTCAGTTGAATTGTCATCCAAAATTTTGTATTGATGTTTTGCATTGATTGCTGTATCTTTTTCTCACTATCCCATTCCTAGTTGTAGAAGTGATGTGGTAGGATGAGTAGGACTGGTTGCAAATATTTTGAAAGCATGATTTACCTTCTTCAATTGTTTAGAACTGTATATGATGTTTAATTACGAGCAATAATTAAATTATATTAAAATAAATCATAATTTATGTAAGTAGTAAATTGTTTTGCTTAATCTGGAATAAGTATTAATCGTAAACAGGAAATATTGCAATATTAACTTGGAAGCACCAAGAAGATAAGCTTATTTCTTTGTGGGGCATCTTCATAAAAATCTTTTTAAAAGATATTATTAGGAAGGGAAAGTTATTACCATTAATGTATTTCTCTTCTTTAATAAACAAAAATAACAGAAAGATTATTCTCTTCATCTTGAAGAGTTTTGAAAATTATTCATTGTGATATGTTAAGCAATTACAGATATTCGCATTCAACTTTATTATTGATATAGGCAGTGTTGTGAAATTGTGTCACATGCTAATGATTACTGTAGAAATATTTCTTTGTATATATCATCACACACTATTTAATGTCCTGCAAAATATTTGCAGTGCATAACAGTGATTACAGATTATTTTGAGGTGTTTGCTAATAGTCATGTCAAAATATAATAATCAAAAAACAACTTACAGCTAAAATAAACATTTTCTATGTGTGATTTCTTGAAGTGGTTTGCTGATTGATAACTTACATAAATGTTCAACATGTCAGTTCTGAAATTGGCTTTCTTGGTTTACTAGTTAAATACATATTGCTTTTGCTTTTTATTACCATACTTTAATACTTCAACTATAAGGAAGTAAATTTCATAAAAGAGTTTTTGGATGTTGATTTCATTCAAGAGAACAAAAGCAGTTCTTGAGAAATTTAAGGAAAGTAAAGTAATAAATAAAATTGGATGAAGATTTGAGAAATCATTCCGGTATTGATTTCAAAGTATGTACAGAGAAACATTGTTAATTGCTCACTTTCTGTACACTTGGTCACATTTAACATTTGAGTGGGATTTTTTCATTGTTTTAAACAATGTTAGCAATTTGCAAACTCCCTGAAACTAAAATTAGTGAACTCAATCATAACCACAAATAATGTGTCAATGTGAAGCTTTATATGTTGACTATATGTCTAGTGTTATTCAAAGAGAACAAGAGGTATACTTATGCATAAAAAATACTAAATTTTTTTAGTGTTAAGATTCATAATGACATGTTATTACACATCGTGTAATTACACACACATGCATTTGAAAATGTTGAATTTTTAATTATCCTATTAGAGTTTGTGGGATGTTAATTTGAAATTATTCAACTGTATTTTCCTGAGCCTGTTGTGCTATGAAATGAAATGCATTAATATTCTGTAATAATGCATGTCATATTGAGGATTGAGGCTTCACCTGTAGAGCAAATCCAATTTTGAACAGCATTGTATATATGGTGGGATAGATGTAGATAAGATAGCAAGATTATTGTACACAGTACATTTATTTTGAGTAGCACTTTTGGCCAGCATGACTAAGTCCTTTGCAAGGAATTTGACAAGTGAACATACTAGGATTTAATTTAACAAATATTCAATCAGAAGGTTTCTATAAAGGCTTCTTGTGTACTAGCATGATGGGGCTCTAGCTACAACATTACAGGAATTACAGTTATTTGAATAAAATGGTATAAATGAAGAACTCCTGTTTGTAAGGTTTTTAAATTAATCAAACAATGTAACCATGAATATTGGTTGTTTATTATATTAAGTTATCGATCTATTTATATGTAAGTTTAAGTATTTTACAAGCATTACACAATTGTTAATATTGATCTATTAATATAGCCACTTTCTCTCTCTTTTATGAACTGTATTTTAACGTGTTACCTTTTCTTATTCTTGGTCTCTACTGCCTGTATTGAGTGAATAGGTAAGCCTCTTGCCTGTTTCAGTGGCATGGTGCTTCAGCCCCTCTCCATGAGAAATTTAATGTTCTGTGCCCCAGATTGTGCTTTCCATTATTCCACACTAATTTATTGAAGCTAAAATGTGTCTTAACAAGGAATTGCTAACTGTTCCATTGTCACTTTTCACTACGAAAGGTAGTCTTATAATATTGTAGTTGCAGTGAAGTAGGAACTATAGTTTTATAGCCACATAACAATTATAGACACAGCATGATAGGTGCTGTTCTACACCTGTGCATGCATTATTGAATGTGTGTGAGTGTGTGAGACAATTTGGATGTGATGGTTAAATTGTTTGCAGGCCATGCAGTTCTGAAACTGTAGAGACATATTTGTAGAATAGTAATTTATTTGACTAACAACTTAATAGTAAAAATGCTAATTCCTGTTTTTGTCCTGATTTATTTTGTTGGCAATAAAATGAGATGGCAATAAAATCAATTGTTACAATAATGGAAGAAGATGTAACTATTTTGAGAATTAAAAAAAATATTTTCGTGTTTTTTTATAGCAGTTTTAATACTGTGGGTTTATCAAGTTATGATATTTATCTTGCTGTGCAGCTCATTGCATTCGCATGGAATTGTTTTTGTTTCAATTTTGCTCTTTATTTTCTTCACTGAAGTTGTTATTCAACAAATTTAAAAGTTCTATTTTTCACCACAAATCCATTTTTAATTTTCAATTTGCTAAATATATAATAGCTTAATTTTTGTCTTATGGTTAGTGTCCTATTAATATTGCTTGGAAGTTTGTTATCATTCAACATAAATAGGACTTATTGCATTATGAAAAGTTATAAGATGCTTTGCTAAATGTAATATTTATTTTTGTTGTCTTGGCAGTCAACGCATCACCAGTCCATACATGGACAGAAGAGTATTTCTACTCAAGAACAACTTGACTTGACATCGAATAGAAGAAGAACAAGAATAACAAGTCATCTATACTTCATCATATGAACATTAAAAAGAATTGATAATTCAAGATGCAGTGGAAAAATAACTGCCATAATACCATCATTTGACCACTTCTTTAAAGTTGCCTAGTGGATTTAGAATGGTGCTACCTGTTTATCTTATTTCTGTAAGATGATTTTATGTGAATGATTGAAATAAAAGCTGATGTTTGGTAAGAAAGGTTTATAATATGTTTCTTCTGAAGGTCTGCTTCCAATGGGTGCAAATTGTTATGTACAAACTCAGCAAAGTTATTATAGAACAGAACTTTTCAAGAAATGCAGGACAATTTTATAGATTTGTTCTTCCTAATATTAGCTTCCACCTTTCATGTAGATGAATTTTTGTAATTTTTTGATAAAATAAATGTCACTCTGAATGTGATGTAGGCAATAATCTGAATTTCTATTTAATAACATTTGTTTATTAGTTCATTAAATTATTTTTTTACAGTGTCAATGTTGCTTTACTTACACAATGTACTTATACAGTTTTGCCTGCAAAGAAAAGCACCCATTGTTTCTTTGATGAAGTTATAGTTTTCTACAACTTACAAATACACTGTGATTTCTTTATGTATCTGTCATGTACTTCATAATATTTCTTTTGCAGGAAAATGTATCCTGTGTATAGAAATGTTCAGAATTGTCATCAAATCCCTTCATATAAAGAATGTTTAAAAGAAATGTTTTCCTGCATTTAATAGTTTTCACTTTGTAAATTCATTTAGAGCAAGTCAGTCACAAATAAATAGTTCGGTATTTGCCAATGGACTATTAAAAATTATTATTTGAGAAAGAAACCTTATTTGAAGTTTGAGTTAATACAGATATATTTCAAATACTTCAATGTGCTGATAATCCAAAGGGAATGTACAAAATGAAGGCAATTTGTGACTGCATCAAGATTTTCAGGATTTGTTATTTATGAAATAGCAATACTCAGGAAGGGCCTCTATTCTGCAAGTTTTGTGTTGCATGAATGCTAAACAATCACTGTCACATGACACACGCCTTGCATTTTTGGACCAACCGCCACTGACTACCAGCAGTTTTTTAATATCTATATGAAATGATTTACGAACACATTTTTATATGACCATGAACTCTGCACAATATGCTACTTAAACTAGTTATAATTTGTGCTCTAGTTAAATGTTTAATTTTTATACACTGTATAATTATGTAGACTGCACATGACAAAACATTGTGGTGTTGGTGATCATGTAAATGTATTTAGTTTTATTGGGACCATGGCATTTTAAGTGATGTAGCTTACTGCAACCATGGTTGATAATGAATGAATGTTAAAACGTTTATAAGTCAAGATGGACTGATTTTTGTACAGATATTTATTTGAGGAGAAAAACACGGACTCTATTCTAACTCCAAAATTTCACAATGTGGATCTAATGCAAAGCCAGCATTAAAAATTATGGCTACCAACTGAAAATAATCTAATCATTGAAACACAGTCTACAGTCTAATACAAGAAATAAAAATTTCCTGAAGTAAGTAGTTCTAAATGTTTTACCAAAATATGGAAATATCTATAAATATGTTCATATTTACATTGTTTATAGTTCAGTGTTTGTATTTAATGAAGTTATGTAATATGGAAAGAGTTATTCATACCTATTTACAGTATTTAATATTACTTTCTATTTTGGGGGTATAAATAGATTTCACTTTTCTGTATTTATTGGGAAATACAGAAAAGTTATTGACTATGTTTTTCTGTACAGATTGAGAATTTTATGTGGTGTAACTAAATTTATTTTGTCATTTCATGTAGTATTTTCAGTAGTCGTGTCCACTTTTCTCTTGCAATAGGCCTAGAACAGAATTCAAATTTTTAATGGCATCAAAGGCTTAAAATGCTTATGTTTTCACTAGAGATATCTGAGCTTTAAAGACAAACTTTTAAGTAATCTCAATAGAATATTTCATTGTGTGTGTGTGTTTCATTTTTGGAGAGACTGAATATGAATAACATGACAAGAAACATATTTACATTATATAATTAAGATTAATGGCTGCTATTGGGATGCATTCCAATATTATTTAAAAGTTAATAGAATGCCTTAATTTTTCAAAAAGCCTTTAGTGTTTTAGTCAACCAGTACCTAGCCACTGTGTTTCAAGGCTTGGTGTTATTTTCCATTCTCTATTCTGGTTGATGTATATCAAACAGTTGCTAAAATGTGCAATCATATTTCTTGGACATTGTGATGTGTCTCAGAAATGTATGCTCAGAGAACATATTCTGAGCAAATGCTTTTTCAGTGATGTTATAAGAACTGATACTGATAAACAATCTGCAAATGTAACTCAAAGTAATAGTATTGATTTCCAAAGCTTCTTGATTATTTCAGGATTGTTCACAAAAACTGAAGAAAATGTACATTCTTTTCGTAGGAAAATATTTGGCAAGTACCTATTTCCAATAACAACATTATAATTCTCACTATTCATGGCTAAGATCATGAATTTCGTCATTTAACATGTGCAGAATCAGAATAATTACCCTAGGTTTATTATCAGTGCCTGAAATTTGTTGAAACAAAGTGTATATACAATTTTTGCAATAATGTAAATGTTTTGTTGCAGAATTATGTACTTAGATATATATATGAGAAATAAAATGTTTTCTTTATATGCACTCAGAGTTATTTTGAAGAAAAAAGTTAGGTTTTTTCTCTGGAAAAATTTAAGTTAATTTTTACATTTTTATAATCAATACTTTAATTCAAGAAATGTGTTGAGATACACAGTAACACTAAGCTTTTACACCACACAATTAACTTTGTTTGAAAAATGAGAAAGCATAAAAGAGTAATATTTGAATAAGCTTTGAACAATTATTGTTTTACACCTTATCGAGTTATTTAATGTATGAAAACTACATAAATGAAAATGAATTAATACATACAAGTATTTTTCATGTGCATTGAATTTATGGAATCTAAAGCTGTCAATGGATTTTGGTTTTGTTACAATGGCTAGAAAAATGTCTGTCTTTTGTCATGAATAGTTATTAGTCCTAGAATTCATGGACTTTCTCACAGGAAAGTGAAGTTTTACTATTCAGAGTTGACTTGTACATCTTTTCCTATTTGTATATTTATCACCATTTAAAATACACCCTTTCCATGTTAAAAAATGTTGAGATATTGAAAAGAAATAATTCAATGTTAATGAACCTCTGTCAAATAACTTTGGTATGAAGTTTGGAACCTTTAAATTGTTTGTTGAGATCTTAAGATATTATCCAATTTGAATACGCAAAATGTATAAATGTTCGACAATGTTCAGATTGTTACTTTTATTTGCTATGAAGATAAGTGTGTGACCATTCCAATTAATTCACAATGCAACAATATATTGAATAATAAGACTCTCATTTTTTTTTTAGATATTCAGGAAACATATTTAATGGATCTTGAAAAGAGATATCATTAGAATAGACAATTTAAGACACTTTCAGACTGTCATAGTCCACTTTTTAAACATTTTCAAAATCAAGGTGTAGTTTATGTTCAAATGACCTCTATCCCAATCAGGTTTGTTTTCCAGTTTCCCCAATTAATTGAGAAAAGTCTGAGATGGCCATTTGTTTTGCTTCTGAACCATATTGTAGCTTCTGTACACACATGCTTTGTGGAGTTCTTCTTTAGCTATTGTAGGAGTAGAGCTTGGGTTGCTTTGTTAGCACTTCAATAAAATCACAGATAATGCCTACTATAAAATACTACATTATTTTTTATTTTTAGTATACTGTACTATAAAATAAAATCTGTTTTTTTATTTTTTTTAAAAGTTGCTAACCTTCCTTTGAAGGTACTTTTATTCATCATAATTGGTAATGGTAAGGAGATCTTGGAACTTTAAAAAACTTGCACAGATTTATACTTCTCCCCCTTACATAACATACAGTTTCAACGGCTTTTTGATGAAAAGTATATCAAATTAATCTAGTGTGAGTATGACCTTTATAAATTACAAGAAAGTGAAAAAATGGAACTCGAAAGTGAAATATATTTAGTACTTTTGTCAGTAAATTGAGAAGAATACCAAATTCATACAGAAGGGGAAAAAAAAAAACATGTAAGAAGTACCTGTTTTTTTAAGTTAATTAAAAAAAAAAATTATGTTGTTCTTATTATTTTATATTTCACCATTTGGTTGCAATTATAAATTTTGATAACTGTATGGAAATACCTGTTTTGCAATTGCCAACTACTGTTGCAACCTCATAGCTGCTTAACATCAGTAATTTTTCAAAGAGCAACTGTGTGTATACTGGGAGATCTGTGTTCGGTTCCTGGGTGGGGCAATCAATTCTTTGAACAGTCAAACATAATTTGATTCATTGATTGTTTGCAATTCTAGGCTCATCAACTATCAAAGTAAGGGTAGTACAGGATTTTTTCCTGAGAGGTGGCGGTGGTCTTTCCCTGCTGGATGGCAAGATGCGGCACTCACCTGCCATCGGCTAGCAAGGTTTTCCCCAAGTGGGGCACTGCCCCAGCCAGGATAAGCTTTAAGCATAGACTGAGGAGGTATATATCATAACTCTATGCTCTGAGCTTTTGACTGATTTTCTAGCACGTGTGGTAGTATAGTCATGTTAGTGTAAATGTGTGTAAAGGGTGGGGGCAGGACAACGAAGAATTAGGAAAATCACATGTGGGCTGTGGCATGTTTTTCAAACATTCTTCGAAATGATGATGATATGAAGAAGGGATATGTTTGGAGAAAAAAAAATTCTCTACGTTGAAATACAGTTCTGGATAGCAGCAGCATAAAAAGACCTATTTTTGTGATTTCTTTTTAATGGAATTACAATACATAAAGACCATCAATACATTAAATAATTAAGAGTTCATAAATTCATATTTTAAAACAATAAACCTGTTTTTCCAAAATTGGACACATTAAATTGTATATCTCAGATTTCATGTTTTGTTTACTCATTTCCGGATAAATGATTAATACACCATAGAGAAAAATTGAAATTTTAATAAGACAAATCTAGCCATACTGCAGGTTTGAGAAAATTATTAAGCACTGATGGGATATTTTAATTTATTTCTAATTTATTTAAATAGTAACTATTTTTATTCAGTGAATTTTAAACCAATTTTTAAGAAATAATAGCAAAATATTGTGTCTCGATTATTGAAATACATTTAGTTTACAATCTGAATGTAGTACAGCAGCAATGTTTACAAGTATGCATAACTAATTATCTGTTTCTTTATAACTAATTTTTCTTGTATGATATTGGGCAGATGTATTTGCTTTATGTCAAAGCATGTATACAGTAATAAGGTATCAAATAATAATATAATTGTTCTGGAAAATATTTTTGATTTCATATCATGATAAACAATTAATTACTCTTAAAATTCATCCGTGTACAAGGCTCTAACAAATACAGTCTACAAGCAAGTAGTACAAGCACCAAGTGATATGTGTTTCAGAAAATAACACACAATTTATTTTTCTAGAACTTTATATATATATATACTTTGTGTAAATATGTGCAACAAACATATTGGTCCTCATTTTCTTGTTGACAACCAATGCTGTTGGAGTGAAAATCCACCCTGCAGCTTTTGAGAGCTCGTACAATAAAACAAATTTTTGGACAGTCAGAAAATTTTGAAATGTTAATGAAACATCTTGACTTACTGTTATATTTTTGATGCCAGATGCGGGAAGACTACTAGAGCAGAAGGGAATACCCGACATAAAAAATAGTTTTCCACATTATTCATGTTTATTACATCTGCAAATGTGGATGACAATTCTCTCTTTTAGTTGTTGCCCATATAAATATTCACATTTCCAGATACCATACCTAGTAACTTTTTGGTTTATTTTCTTACTACTGATACAATGTCTTATTAAGGCAAGCCCTGTCAAAAGTCTATGTCTTACATTCTACAGTAAGGCCATAAGCAGAACATTTGATACACTTCATTCCTATGCCACATTTAGCTACATTTTCAGTATAAACAATTAATTTCTTCCATCACAAACTAAACAGCACTAAACTCCGCCTCTTCTTTGCTTCCTTCTTTAATGTTTCCGCGATATTTATTACTTTTATATTTTTTGCTCGTCATTTATTCTCATAATAAAATTAGGTCTTTGCGCATCTGAATATACTCCTGAAAAGTTTCATTTCCTAACCAATCTCACATTGCTAACGAAGGCCTAGTGAACGCAGGAATGTCTGCAATTGTTGCTTTAATGAGCGTTGTCCAACTGTCCTCCGCCTTTCGCAACTTGCGCCACGCGCGCTTCAGACGTCGTCGTTATCAACTTCGGGCGCAAGCGCGAACGTCACCGCAATGGAGGGGCCGGAAGCGACGGGCGAGGACGCTCGCGAAGCGTGGCGCGGCGTTCCGCCGCCAGACGCGCCACCCTCGCCGCCGCCACCGCCCTCGTCGTCCTCGTCGTCGTCGGGCGTCGCAGGCGCTGCGAGCGCGAGCGGCGCCACGCACAGCACGAGGGGTGCGCCGGGCGGCTGGCGAGGGTTGGCGCGCGGCGAGGGTCAGCTGGGCGGGCGCCGCGGCGGCGCCGGCGACGCCGTAAGCGTCGTCCACAGCGGCGCCTGGTCCTCGGGCGGAGGCATGATGTGCACCTGCCACAAATGCATGTAGGCGATTATATATATTGTTAAAGATGTGATCGAGGTAGGTGGCAGAAGCCGATGATAGGGTTTCAATCCGATTTAATATATAGTGTCACGAGCTGGAAGGAGAGGGGGATGCTGTCATCCAACTGAGAGCTTCAATTTCAAAAAAAAAGTTGCAACGAAGCTCCCGACCAGAGAGTATATGCTTCCGAGTGGAGGACAGCGTCCCCTCCCCCTTCCAGCTCGTGACCTTGGAGGTACACCATGTTTAAATGGGAGTTTTTATAAACGCAAACAACCACAATGGACTGGGGGGTAGCCTGACCCCAGCTGCACACTTTTTAGATCAATTGTGCTCATTAGTTTTCCCCACTCCCTATTTGTGTTTCAGAATATCGTGAAAATTCCTGATCTTTTTTAGTGCTGCGATTAATTGCTCTAATTTTGCACAGACTACAAATATGATGACCATAAGATGAAAATAGAATAATGTGTCATGTGATAGTAAAATATTTAATAATACGTCGAGATCCTAATATTTCGTAATATGAAAATCAAATCAAAGTTTCATGAAAAAACTGAAAAAAATTAATGTTAGAAATGCGTTTAAGTAAAAGAAGGAGCAAATGTCGCCAAAAACGACCTTCAAGGTGTTAGATCTATTACATTTCTCTACCGAATTGAGTTTTTAATTACAGCACTGAAAATAACTGTAGTCGCTCAATTGCAAAAATCTTTTCTGATGCTATGAGCTATCCTAGTTCATCTCTCACCGCATAGTTAAATCATGCTATTATGGAAATGGCTTGGCTAATGCGCATGTATTGTATCTCTATACACTTTACAACTCTAACACATGCAATTATCACAATACATGTAAAAAGTTAATAAAGTGTCCTGAAACAAGATTGAAGTAATATGTTCCATGTCCTCTGCAGAGCGGTGTGGAACGAGGGGATGATGTATTCGGGAACAAACCACTGTTTGCTCGCTTCTGCTCGTGACCATCACAA